AAGAGCCGTCTCGACTGCAGACGTCACTCGTTTGCAGTCAGAGTGTGCAGAACATGGAACTCTCTACCAGCTCACGTTGTCTGTGTCCCAACATTAATATCATTCAAGCGTCAGCTTGATGATGCCCTGGGAAGCGTTACATTTCAACACCCAACTACATAACATATTCTCCTGTGATCGTGAAAACATTAGTTTACTACTTTACTTTCATGGACTAACTGTGATATTGTGATTCTTCATCCGAACCCATGTGTAAACACCCTATGGGATTTGTAAAAGCGAAGTCTTTGTAAGTTATATCCCATAATAAAAATTTGATTTTGAATTTTACTCTTCAGACTCAATGATCCCCAATGTTCATAAATGCAAGTCTGACATCGGGATGTTCTCGGTTGTACCAGGAACGAAGTCGTACGCTGAAAGCGTTGTTTCTCTATGCTGTCGATCTTGCTTCCGTAAGGGGTAAGGTATCACTAGCAGTGGAAAACCTCTGATGGTTTATCCCAATATTCGTCACCGTCATTCAGCGGGCAAAAGATGTTGCCATTCAGTTCCAAGCAACGTTTTGAATTCATTTGTCTGGGAAACAGTTGAGTGTTAATACAATCAAGGATTGGAAGATTCAAGAGAGACTAAAAATGGTTTTCAAGCCCACCGTAAACATATAGAGTAATGGACGGTTCTTCTGAAAACCCTGTGCCATTCCGAATAAGGTGTTCCGAGATAGGCTGAACTGACGATACAATATTTCATTTAGCTGGTAGCAAACGAACTGCTGGCGTTTCTGTGACGCACGAATTGAAATTCTTGTCATCAACCTCTGGCGTTTAGGGACTGAGAGAAAGAGGGGTTCTGGGTTTTATATTTTTTGTACTTTGGACCGTTGGTCGCAAACAAATAAGATGAATAACAAGCATGAATATGAGGACCAGCAGTGCTTATTGAATGCGTAGCTCACTTGTAGATTCATTGTCATTTCCTCGTTCCATTCGGGATGATCGGTGCCGTACTTGGTCGACGATTTGAGCTGTATTGATGGAGCAAAGTCAAATTGAAAAAGACAAACGACTTCAGAATCGTTCCAAAGAGTTATACCTCATCAGTGGAGTTATTAACACTCACTGTATTCGGAAATTTTGTTCGAGGCAGTTTTATGAGGATTTAGGGTTACTACCGTTTGTCAAGTAGCATTACGCATCCTTTATTAGCCGGTCGGTAATCACAGTCCGAAGCATTTTCATCTAATCCCCCGATCACCCGGTGTTGACAGACTGGTCTGAATTATGATCATCGTCAGTAAATTTAAACAGTACGGGGAGACAGAGATTTAAGAAATCAAGGCATTGACGTGCAAGGACCGTTGATGCACATGTGAAAGCTGCAAGGCTCTTGACTAAGCTTTTTGATGGAAAACGTGAAACTGTTTCTTCCGTTAGTGTTCAAACTTCTGTGGAAGGTCCCCTTGGAGTGCTATCCATTGTATGTCGTAAGAATAAACATAGTTTAAGGCAGAAACCTAATCTGCTTTCGTGTTTCTTCTTTCCCACAGAAGGAAGCTGCTGTGAATCGTGATCAGATGAATCCGTTAAATGTGATGAGAAAATCACGTTCAGCTGTAAACAGTACTTCCCACTCGCAGAGAAATATGCGATGCACTGCATCATGGTTGTCAACAATACTTCATATATTTCATCCGGCGAGTACAGCAGAAGCACAGTCAGGTTTGGCTTAGAAAATATAATACTCCTACCTTGAAAAGGACATCGGCAGCGAGTACCTTTTTCTGTGTAAACAAATTACTGTTCGGCTTTCGAATGAAAAGGAATTTTTCTCAAACCACGGTAATTGTGGCTCTACTGTCCAATTGACCATGTGCCTCATTTCGTATAAATGAGAAACAGCGAATGCTTACGGTGTGCGACTTTTTAGTCTGTGTGTATGGGTGGATGACCAACTTTTCTTTTCTTCTTTTTTCTTTTTTCATTTTTACTTCCTTTTATTGAATGAACAATGATACAAATTTCAGGAAAGGGGAAGCGGCCAATCAAGGGACTGCCATACAACACAATGGAAAAAGTTAGGCGGTGGTGGTTGGATTCGAACTAACGTTCCCAGGGGTGATAATTTGGTGATGTTACCACCGGGCCACCGATGCCCAAACTTGCCTATACGGAATGCGAATTTTATAAATTGACTTTACTGCTTTCTCCCTCTTTCAAAGGTCATTTCATATAAAGATTGCCCAAAATTTCCAGATCGATATTAGAAAGAACCATCTTCTGACAGACATTGGTCAAAGTACCCAGTAGTGTAAAATTACATAATTCTGTTTTGGAACGACCTCACTTCATCTCAACCAATCCAAGTGGGACGAGAGGGGGTACAGAAAACCGTAGCGATGTAAATTTAGGTTTAAACTGTCCTTTTGAATTGTTCTCTCATCGAAAGATTAACTTCATGCACAACACACCAATCTGAACGAAGCGAAATTGTCACGGATACAAATTTAATATATTATATACTTGTACATATTCTAAGGTGTTATACGAAAGTGTTACGCCAACACTCACTCCTTTAACAAGTGGAATGGAGTCAAGTACTAGTTAATGAAATCGATATTTGTGTGCAAGTACACAGTTAAGTGAGTAAACGTGTGATCAAGACATTGCTTTAAAGGATAAGGTAATTCGGAGTTAGAGAGCGAGTGATCTTCTGATAAAAAAATCAAGATTTGGTTGATCCGGTGGGTTTTCGATCAGCTGATCAACAACAAAGCGTATTTCATGACAGAGCATGAACAGAAAACAGACTTCAGCTATCTCAGTAGGTCGATGGGACCACACACAACAAGGTCGGGTTCCACAAAGGACCAGCTTGGTTTCAGACATGTGTCCACCAATCCAGTCTACTAACCTGTCCCCAGAGAATGTTACACGCGAATTAGGCCAGTCGACATACCTGACCAAATGGTGCAACTAAACACATAAAACCGGTCATCCTGAGACCTCAAAGAACAGTCAAGTTGTTTGTTACACGAGAAACCCGAAACGTATACACTAGACTGTCACCTGGATTACACTAGTCCTACTTATTGCCTTGCTGAAAATCCAGTGTCATTTTTGGGGTGCAGGTGGTCCAACCAATTGGCGATGAGTTCTACTGGATTTGTCGCTGAAAAACAAACGCAAAGTTAGCACAAAATGGCTTTGACAAATGTTGTAGAGAATTCCGATAAACTTAATGATCACGAATTTGTTGTCAATGTTCGACTCTACAACTTTATAAACGATATGGACTAAAAATGGTGCATAGGGCTGCAGTTAAGATTAGACCAGTATTTCGATCTGCACGGCTAGATGGTGGCAGTTACACGATTGGGATCTAAGTACTTCAGTTGTAAGTGGCTGACTCATGGTCAAAGTAATTTGAGGATCAGGGTGCTTTTTGGTTCTCCATACGTAAGCCAGGAACACTCACGTGGTTGCTTATTCCCTATACATTGACCAGGGCAGTGTGGATGCATGTGAAGGTGGGAATGGGAACGGGAAGGATTGCGGTTTCGAAGGTCGACTGAGTTTTCACTTAGTGGTCTATATCTTCCGTTATCAGTGATGACCTATTCCGAAGTATTGCCTAGTTCAAGTCAAGTGGTATTCCTGGATCCCGGGGAGGAAAAGTCTCTGCCTGACTACTACTATGCACTTCAAAACTGGGATCCTTGTGCATGATGTGCAATCCATTCGACTGATTGAACCATCGAAATCAAACAACCACGAAATTTCTCAAATGGTTCGTCAGTATCTCCTCTTTGGTCTTTCGGATTCGAGGAAAAAACGTGCACTATTCGGACGAGGAGTCGTTTACAAATGTCAACCAAAAGCATAAAAATCAACAATATTCCAGAAGGTGCATTTGAAGTGTTAGCGCTCTTATATAGGGGGACGAACCATGTGACAATCGATCCGCTGGTCATCGCATAAGTCCCAATGCCTTATTCGGGGTGTTCATACGGGTTCAATAACACCAGGTTGAAGTCAACAATTGCGTAAGACAAACGAAAGTTACATACTTGGGGGAGGTGGCAGTGAGGAGGAGGGAAATTGCTTTGAGCTCTTAACGCGTCAATTGGAACGCATAAACTTATTTGATTTTGTTTTCCCATTTCGCTAAACCCCTGATCGACATTGTAAAACCAGTGGTTTATACACATTTCACCCACGAGCAGCATCTCTTACTTCTATCGACTATGGGCTTGTTTCATCAGAAACAAGTTTTCTGTGAGTAAACTTCTATTTCTGTTGTGGCTGCCAACAGAACTGGAATCTTCCATTAGCACAACCTCGACATCGAATTTCAACCGTGGGTTTCAATCTGTCAGCTTTACTTCCTTGGCATGTAACTATACCTTTTCAAATTCAAGTGAATCCGCCGTAACTTCAAGTGAATCCAATAAACCGCACTCTATTGGAAACCCCACAAGATGATTGGTGTTTCGGTCGTCAAATATCATCGATTGGACCGGGTCTGTCTAAAACTGGTCCGTAAACAAACAGAAGTACTTTTTGAGCGGGTTAGCGAGCGAGGATGACTGCTTCGGCCGGGGGGGGGTGAGGTGGGCCCTTCCACCCGCACAACCCACACACACACACACACGTTCCACCCGGGAACGTTATGTTTGTGATCATTCATTCAATCTCGTTCGGTAACTCACTCAAAAAGTGCTTTTGTTTGCTTACGGAGAAGTTAGTTCATTCGGACTGAACGGGGTTTAGACAGACCCGGTTAAATCAATGAAATTTGACGGCCGAAACACCAATCATCTTGTGGGTTTTCCAGTGGAGTGCGATTGGATGGATTCACTTCAAATAACAACTTGAAGTTGAAAAGGTATAGACACCAAACGTGCACATGATATAGGCAAATTGAGCTGAACTCACAGTTTTTCCAGCAAATGATAAAATCATGTACGGATCCGCGTATTCCTTTTGTTCTTCTGCCTTGTTCGACATGAGATTTTTCAGACCTTTGAATGTTTCCGGATCCACTGTCAAAGTGCAAATATACAACGGGAATCAAACCAGACTGATGATGAATGAGTGTACCAAACATCAACAATCACTTCGAACGGAATCGCACATCTGAAAAGAATTGTTTTGTTCCCCTTGGAAAAATGACACTACATTGCAAGAAACTGGGCAGGTAGATGGTTTTATGTTGGATTACATGAGTAACGTGATCAAGCTGAGAGGCCGCATCGAGTCTCGTTGCAAACCAAGCAACTGTCACTTTGATCAGCATTCAATAAGTAATCTTGCCTAAGAGTAAAGTTGGTCTTCCGATAGGAATAATCTCTCGAACCGTTAGAGACGGGTAATTCGGATAGCTAAATTATCACAGATGTATGCTCATCATACTGCCATGATTATGGAAAAAGTTTGGGGTAAAAACGAAACCCACATTTGCTTGTCAATTAACCGTTGAAATCGGTTTAAATATCTTTTTATTATTTCGGTGATTTCTGACAACCCCAAATCCTCAGTCCCATTGAGATTCGAACTCTGAGGTTCAGGACCAGGCTATCAGCAGACGGCACATTTGATAACCTATTAGGCTGTTGTACTGCAAACTGACAAATGTCATACCTGATACACACGGTTCTTCTTGTGTCTATGTGTGGTCTGCATCCTTGGAAATGATATATTACCCCCGTTGCCTCTCGCATATGTTTGCTTTATTTCATTTACAATGGAATTTTATGCAGATCAAGCATAGGGTAATCAGTACTCAATCTGTAGTTTAAGTGCCGACAGGGACACAAAGTTATCGGCGAGTTGAAACTAGAGCAAAACAGTTGTCTTTGTCAGTCAATATACAGAATTCATCACAAATGATTTCCTGGTATTTGGAATGAAAGACAATGTGATATCTATCTACGTTGGCTCACAGTTAATAGTTCTCACTAATGATACGGGATAAGTGATATTGATTTGGACTCAATATCATTCAAAAGTTTGACCCTCATTTCATCCAGTGGCCTGTAAACTTACAAAGTACCAGACCATTGCAAGTTTGATTTGCGAAGCTATCCCTTTGATCTACAAGAACTGTAATTATCCATTGAGAAAAAACGCTGTGGTTGGGTCCACTTCCGTTCAGCGCACCTCAATGGTCAATTAAGCACACGTTTTTCCACCCCTGATTGATCACTTGTCTTCCCACGCTCCTTCTGTGTTGAAATCAGGCGCTTCTCAGTGGTGCATCTTGTCGAGATGGCGGACGAACGTCGATTCGGTGAGTTGACGAAGCCTTATTAGTCACTTGAGACAGCGGAGATTATAGACTCGAGTTTGCTCTTTCCATGGCTCACCAGTAGTAAATATCCCGTGTCTCGACCTTGTACAGAAGGTGTTCATGTTACCAGCTCACATAGCGGGCCCAGTGAGCTCACTGAGGATGTGACCTAACTCGACTTGGCCAGGAAGTAAACTTGTTGGCCCAATAGTAGCACACGCCTCTAATGCAATAGGTCTGTAGTTACAATCCCATTCCAGAATGGGTAGCCTATGAAATGCTGTACCAAAAAGATTAAAAAGCAGACCTCGAACCCAGNATACTGTTCATATTGCCCCACAGATGTCATTGTACAACTCCGAGAGCCAAATTGAAGTACTTATCTCACAGAGACATGAAAATGCAGCTTAGCCTATCGGGATAAGACAGAAAACGAACTGACAGTTTAGGCGGAATAAGGGTAAAGCCGGATCGTTCAAAATTATAGCCCACAAAATACCTTTAGTACACACTCCCGTTTCTCAAAGATTTTTTGCGAGCATGTCTACATTCAGTTTAGTTCCGTTTGTACAACCATCAACCAGACACTTTCGTGAACCGGTTTTGGTTGCTGTCATTTGGCTGTCTAGTTGGATGACGGGGTAGAAGAAAGATTGACGGGTTGAAATTCGAGTCGAAGAGAAAATGGAGGGTTCCAGTAGACTAAGGTTGCACAGAAATTGAGAAGATGCACAAACGCCATTAGTTACGACACTCAGCCATAGCACCCAGTGTCTCTAACCGTTGATCGCAATGATCCCGAGGGCTGAACACGACCTATATGACCAAGTCACACCTATGCTTGTGCTGGAGAAATCACAATCCAGGTTTCGTTGTGCACAGGCAGCGGTGTGTTAAAGCAGTTAGAGGACCCTAACTCTCCAAATTAAATTAAGGTCGTATACCATGAATAATTTAGCTAATAACATTCTATGACTGAAAACAGGTGGTTCAAAGCATTCATCTGTGAATTGCTGAACTCACTTCGAGGCAAATCTTCGGCCTTGTATAGTCGTATTTTGAACACCGCCGGTCGTAATTGCACTCCGGCAGGACGCAACAGATTTCTGAACAGTATGAGGGTGATTGAGCAAAGACTAATCAACTTACGCTTCAATATCTTCATCTCCCTCTGAATCTAGCGGATTCATACTCTGGAATAAAACAGATGTGAAATAAAAGTGTATCAGAACTAACATCATTTAGATTTCAATAACTGGTAATAAAAGTATGCCAAATCACACTGTCAAACATTCCCATAGTTTTATCAAATGGGAAACCGTGGTGCCCTCAGAGAGCGTTTTGAAAGCACCGCATTTGTACAGTGCGTCGTGTGACAGCTCATCAAAGGAGCATGTATGCCATTTTATAATTGACAGGTTCTTGTTTGTTCTGCGGTGCGTGGGTAGTGCCAGATCCGGGGGAATGCGGTAGCGCCAATTCACAGCAAGAACCGACCCATCATGGAACAAGGAACAGCACTTTCGAAGTGATTGAGAAAAGTAAAAAAATATCGATCCAAGTCGATGTCAAAACATATTAGCAAAGAAGTAAATGTCAAAATGCCAAACACCGGGGGTTGCTGTTGATCTCATTCGGGCTTGTATGTGATTACTGTCTGAAGATAAAAAGCCAGGTATCACCAGAAGCACTATAGCGAGTTCCGTTTCATTCCTAAATCAACTCCATCGATAGAACCAATAAATAGCCGTTAATTTTTGGTGGAACATTTTGCTGATATATTCCGGTTGGAATCTTCCGAATGTTACACGTTTTAAATATTACCCTATTGGGACAATCCATTTCAAGTGCTCACCTTGAAATTACACATTGAACAAACAGTTGATCTGTCTGTTACCAAAATCAATATATTATACAACGCTTAATTGTGCAATGATCTAGAGGTACATTCAGGGTTTATGCCCGCTATCTTGCCTGAATACATCAACCAAAAAAGTTTAATGCTTAAGATGAGACCGGTCATGACTAACTTCCTTTGATAGTGTTCTCATATTTACTTAGGCTGTACGAACAAACAGAATTTGTGTCGTTTGCCAGCCTGAATAAGACGTTTCGAGCAGCCTTTGAAACAAATAAGCACATGATATCATGGCAAGTATTTTGCACTGGAAACTGACGTCCGATTGGAATATCTAATCCTTAGAGAACGGACCAAAAACGCAGCCAAGTTTTACAACTTGCATTAGGGTCACTTCTGCTGCTCTGGCACAATAAATGGATTATTCTAATTTCTTCCGAATGATAGCTTCTAAATTCTTTTCATCTTTTAACTGTGACGGAGGTTGGTTCACGAGTACACATAACGAATGACAGAAATTCAGCTCTTGGGAAGTTATCCTGAAACCAATGAAGAATGGATCAGTGATCAATGTGTGTACCACATTGAGGTAGGTCACCGATGAATCAGTGCAATTTCCCAAACCTGTATATAAAAAGACAATTAGGCAGAAAAGATAAAGATCAGAAAAACTGCTTGATACGTGATAGAGGCAGGACATTCCAATCAACCTACCGGGGCCTCGTCCCCCGGACCCAGAATCACAATCGATATTTTCAAATAACCTTTCGCTCCGGCCATTGGATCATCCGGATTGGATAACAAGAGCCACTTATTGATCATACTATGCTGCTTCTCCTCGTACGGTATGGCCAAATCAAATTTGAATGAGCCTATCAGAGCATCTTTGCGGAGATGTCGTGAATTGAACACACTAAAACGGATAGCCTGATCCAACAAAGTGGCCGGGGCTTCGTGATAATTGAAGAAAAAGATCTCATTCCAGTACGGCGAGTTGGTGGAATTTTTCACATGTGTCTCTTCAGTCCGATTCCAACAAGTTATCCGGCATACCGGTGAAACGTTTCCACCTTGGAGCTGACGCGCTTCAACCACTTTGACACGAATCTGTAGGAAGGCGGGGTGGATTAAAACGAGAAAGGAATTACATTGTAGTCTAAAAGAAAAATAGCTCCACGTAAATGTAATGCAAACCGCAGTTGATTCAATAGTCTGGTCAATGTGCAGCTGTCCTTTTTACCTGGGAATGTTTGGGACAGAGATGACTTAGCTGTTTAACACGACTGAATCTAATCCACCAGTAAACACGCTGATGAGTCAACCATTTAAAGCGTGAAATAATGGTCTGATTGAAATTTTTATGACTTGTACAAAGAGGGAAAATTTTTATCGCCTATTTTTTATGCGTCTTAAAGGTAAATTTACCCCCTGATAAAGATGCTCCCTCAAAAGCCATTGTCATTCTACGAGTGGTTAATTTTATCGGCAGTCCAAGAAACCCTTCGATTCCGCCCATCTGTTTAACACAAATTTTAAAACCGTTATTCCTAAAAGAAAACTACGGCCACTTGCATACAGTCACTCGCTAAATGGGGGATGTAGTGTGTGTGTGTGTGTGTGTGTGTGTGTGTGGATGGGTGAGTGTTTCCGGGGGATGTTCGGTCCTGCGAACACCATGATAATTTGGATGCTAGCTGTACCGATGGACCCACACGGAAGGCAATAGATCTACGAGGAGACTTTTAACATTCAGAACAAGGTGGTAACTTGATTGAAAAAAATCTTGATGTTATGTTTTTTAAACAACGAATCATTTGTATCATCTTCACAGTAGCTATATGATTAATGAGTATATTACTCTGTGCATTCGTAAAAAACATTTCATTCTGCATGAGTGTACGCGTTGGAAGATAGCTTTATCCTCTAACCCTCAATTTTGCCATTTTTTATTTGGCATCACGTCATATTTCCCTTGCTGTGCCCACGTCTCACATTTCTATTGTTAACCAATGGGAAAAAGATCAAAGATCACCGACCAGAGAGCCACCAACAACCTCTTCCATCGCATGCAATTTGTCTGAGATAAAGCAACGGTTCGACCGAACGATACTTTTTTCAGTTTAAGATGTCCGAATATCATCCACATAGCAAAATGACATCTTAAATTGATATTGGGACAACCCAAATTGGAAATGGGGCAGCACTGCTTTCTGCGTGATCCCATCCAACATCGATTCACGTTTACTGCAGTCTGGTGAAGCATTTAAAAAGAAGTCTGGGTTGTGCCAGCAAAAATAGTCATTCGTTGCCGTGGCGTTGTTTTGGTTAAAACCATGACATTTGTGAACTTTTGCCAGTAATTTCGTCGATTCGTGATCGTTTTTACCTGATCTGAAGTATACACTTGATGAGCTGCGGTGAAATATGTAGAGATCCAGATGCCATTTGTATATATACAGTCAGACACACGAACAGTGCTCACTCGTACGACTTCAACCACACGAGTTCTCTTGTGACCTACGTTGTCCCTATTGGTTGACCTATGTTCCGTCTGGCCCTGTTCTGTATCGTTTCACCGCTTATCATTTATCGGCTATTTAACCACCCACGCACATGT